CTAAAGGTCGTCGCGGGGATGATTGTCTTCCTACTGTCGGCATTGGAGCTCGGCTTATTGACTGTGCTGGTTGTCCGTAATTTTCGTCCTGGAACTCGTCCTGAAATATGTGAAGCGGCTCACTGGACGCCGCAAAACGCGTCGGTCTGGCCATGTTGGCCAGGAGCGATGGGGAAGTATGAAGGTAATTCGTCGGCGCCGCCTACAGTCCGCTTGAATGAATGTCAGCGAGGTGGGAGAAGATAACATGGAAGGTAATTTGTGGCAGAACTGTGAAGCCGTCTCTAATATTCCATGACGACATGTAATCTTAACAAAAGACAGAAGACTCACCTATGCCGGAAATGGTGCTTAAATGAGCAGTGGAGACGTGAAGCTAGAGTGACTATCGTGCGCTGTGGGTATCGCTAAAAAGGATTCTGAGTGAGTTCGTGTCCCGAAGTCCAAAAAAACTTATATGAGTAGTGTATATTGCGAAATGGTTGGGAAGGTTGGCTTGCTGGCGGGTTGTAACACGTGTAGGTAGTAATGGCAATGATGGGTAGCAGGCAAATTAGGGGAGAAGATGAAGGACGAAAGGGAGGGGGAGCTAGATCGTCAAGATCTGGGGGAGGAAGTGAGTGACAGCCGGGTATGCAAAGGCGAATGCAGGAGAGAGAGAGTCCAGGTAGGGTAAGACTCTAGGCAGAGAGAGAGGGCAGTCGCGGTACGTACAGATAGATAGATAGGCTACCTTAGGAAGAGAGATAGTGTACTAGTAGGCCAGCCCGCTGAAAAGCAAGTTTAGGTAGGATGGGCAGTTGCAGATGAGAGATGGGTGGGTATGCCCTGTCTTGCAAGGAGGTATTCTATTGAAAGCCCCGAGAGGTAGCAAGAATGGAATTGAACAAGCTGAGAGTGTGAATGGAAGACCAAGCAGGGCTTAGTGCGCCAACTCAGCAGTGGAACTCTAGCGGGGCGCAGCAACAAGTGGAACAGGGTGGAGTCGGGTCCACGGCAGAAGAAGCCCAGAATGGGAGGGGATTGGTCCAGAGCGGCTCTGGGCTGACACGATGATGGTAAGCAAGGAATATACCACTATAGCGCCTGTGGATACCCGGACAGCAGTGGACAAGAACCCGGTGCACGCAGTGGAGCCGATTAAAGTCGGCAGAGAACAGTCTGGTTGGGTGGTGACGCTGGGTGACTTGTGACCGTTTGAGAGCCCCAGCTCGTTAATTAATCGTTGCCGAAATGCAACCTCTGAGTACTGAATTCCTGTCCTTCTAGGTGAGATGATCAGGGTAGTTCAACGCAAGTCTCGGTCGGTGATAGGTCCCATTCATTTCACTTGGGAGGCAGGCAGGTGAGCGTATCTATGAGGCGCGGAGATGTATGGGATCTCGGAAGCCGAAGCGAGACGAACGAAGAGGAAAAGCGTATGCTTGGAGGCTAACAAGCGATTCGACAGAACTAGTGTAAAGCCGATTGATCCAGTAGGCGCGGGAAGGCCGACGCTGTTTGAGCCGAGACGAGAAGATGTGAGTGAAGTATGCGTAGGCAAATGTAGATGGCGCCCATCCAGGACAGTTAGAAGCAGCGGTCGCTCGAGGTTTTCAATCGATGACTTTTTCGCCTCTTCCCTCTCTCCGACCTTTTTTTTTTCTATTAACGCTTTTGTTTGTTGGCTGGCTGAGTCTATCGTATCCTCTCCAGGGTCGATTCCTATCCCTTCTTGGTGTGTGCACGCTGCCTCTCGTTAGCTCATCCCAGCAACGGTGTTATCTTCGCAGGAGTCTGGCGTTGTAACGGCTCGTGGTGTGATGCAATGTGCGACCCAAAGGATCAGCTCATACGAGAGAGCGAAAAACGTCTGGGATTAATGAGGTGGAAGCAAGCGATTGGACGAGCGTGGGCGGCGCGTAGAGTGATTCCGGATTGGTGGAACAGGGGCCATTTAGGTAGGGGTGTCCATTGGCTTGGACGCGTCGTGTTGTTTTTCCATTCAATGGGCGCGCGACGCGTCCGGCCAATCAGGACGTCATAGAACCACCCGCTGGCACGCCCTCTGCATGCACTTTGCTCCTGCCCGGCTACTATCCCAATATGCACTAGCGTGTATCCGTGATGTGCTACACTACCAATACTCCCATTGAATTAGCATCGTCGACTTTTCCTGTTCGAGCACCCCATTTACGCACAATCTCGATCATCTAGCGTCATCTATCAGTACTACAGTACATTTCACTACTCTATGTAGTTGCTTGCTTGCTGATAACCCCATTGTCCTTGCCATATTCATTATTGTACTCGTGTTAGTAGTGTAGTGTGTCACAGCATCAAGTTATTCACATTGCGCCTTAATATCCACCTACCTACTATACCCTGGTACATAGTAGTATCTGATCTAGTACGGGCACTTTCGGTGGGTACTCACCACAGCTTGTACCGGTCCGGAACCACGAACCCGTGTCATCCGCGACCGTCATGTGATTTCAATAATATGGACCGGGAGCAGCGACACGGAGCCATCTTTCGGCACTCGTCTCACGACTAGTATTAGAACGGTAGTCATTTTCTACCTTCTCCCGCGATATCGAAGCAGACGCCGTCACGACGCTGAAGAGAAAAAATCGGGGGATACATCTTGATGTCGTTAATGTTTAAGAGGGTTCAACGCTGCGGTTCGGGGGCGATATAGGTCCTAGAGACTGTAGAAACACGCCCATGAAGGATTAATCTGCTCATTATGAATAGCTATTACGAGACGACCACCAGGCCCAACCCTTCAAGACCTCTCTAATGGTATGTCTGGCCCGATTTGGTTTTGAACTTGAAGAGCAAGCCATCACCAACACCCCCATCGGGCATTCGGTCTCGTCCAATCAGATGTCACCATTGAATATAAAGGAGCATCAAAGCGGCGCCCTCATTTCCCAGCTCTGGCCTTTTCAATGCACCATGACTGCCAACTCATCATGACTCGGACTCTCACCGAAGAGTAGGATAGGTCTTCGTGGTCAAGGCCCAGTGTCCAGCGAATAATATTTCAAATATAAACTATGTGATCCTCTTAGCCGGCCGGCTGGGCTGCGACCTCGGTAGCCAATTTCTGCTTGAGTCTGGTCCAGTACAGCCAGGTGTGAAAGACTTCTAAAACGCATATCCTAGGCGGGATAGCCCCCATTGTATATAAATATCCACGCGCGTGTATTTGAACAGTTCGGTTCATTGTACAAGGCAGAGCTCAAGGCACACTAGCAACCCGAAGTGACGCCATCGACTCATGATCAGATACTCGTAGAACAATACTTGACCATATCTGTTGGGTAAGAGATCTTAAGCTGTTGAGTAACATTCATGTTGCGGTCGTTGTCATAGTTCGTAGGGCCGAGACCATCTTTGTCCGCCAATCCTCTGTTGATGAATATTTTGCCTCCTTGATTATACTGGTACTGATACCAAAGTCATTACATAACCAGAGGTATAGCTAGTGACCCAACACAGACGTGATGGGAAAATATTGCGGGCTTATGGAATTTTTTCCTGGCTGAAAAGACTTGAATCCATTACTTATTAACACTATGAATTATTCACGATATTCAAAACAGAAGCCCTGTCAATAAGCATCGCTTAATAGTACACCTAAATTATTCCACATAACATTGCTCTAAACACTTAGAACACACGAGATTCTTTAACTAACCCATTAACTAGTTTCGATGGAAATAATGAGTATATAACGGTTTAAACAATGTTTCGGAAAGTCCTGGTTTTTGTCTTATATGATAAAATTTTACAAGTATATACTTGTAACTCACAGCTGGCCATCGGCAATGACACATAGATAGATAGATGGGAAGACTATTATTTACATATGTGTAATACGAGAAGCTTGTCAGGAACGAGCTGGGTAGGATGCTTGGGTAGGCAGCTGAAGAATTTGTATCATTGTGATTGTAAACTGACTACAATCCGGAAACTATTCATAATCTGCACTCATGATTATATAGTACTACTAAGTCGGTGTAACTGTTCGTTAGGTAGAGGTGTTCATTTGTAAAGTCTATACACCCGGAAAAAGATTCAATAATACTACCATGTCTTCGATAAAGAGTCTCCTTATGCATTGAGATGTTCTTACATGCGTGACCAGATGGTGACACCGCCTTGTTGATCAACCCATCGACAGCGGGAACATATCACCACAATAATCCGTTAGCTACGGGAGTCACTGCATCCTCTCCTTTCGTCATTTGCATGCCAGGATGCTGTCCTCGAGCGTGAAACATAGAAGGGAGAATGACACAATTATCAATAGTGGCATATCTGATTTAAACACCCCGAAACAGCTAATGACTCATATTACACTCTATCATTCCTATCCTAGACACATGGCAGCAATACTTTGCGCAGGTTTTACCTGAGACAAGGTTGATTTTTTCAGTTGCTTTTCCCTGACTATCGCCATGACCAGTCTGGAATTCAAAATGGCTTGCCGCCTGGCTATAGCGCGCTAGGCCGTGAGAAGCCAATAACTGGTTCATAATCCAACTTTTATATATGTCGATATCTGTCCAAAGAATAGTGAGATGTCAACCCAGGTCTATTCCACGACTCAGAATAAGAACAAAGCTACGTAGATGTAAACGGTGCCTTAGGACAAATATATAACGTAAGGAGAAATTACAAGCTTCGGCAATAAGCTCGATGATCTTCTTCTCTATTTTGATTATAAGAGTACCAGGTAAAATGTTCGAGTGGCAAGAAAATAAAAATGTGCTTAAGAATGCAGCTATTATTAAAGCTCGGTGTTCCAAGTGGACAGCTGCTCACAGGTGGTCGCAGGTGCATTGAGTGGGAAAAGTCTCAGCTCTATTGGCCCCGCACGCCTTCCAGCCCCTTTAAAGCTTCAAGTTGCGTTCATGGGCTAAACAATTCGTAAAAAAAATTAGGAAAAGTTAGAAAAAATTAGAAAAAGATGGTTGCAACTCTCAGTTTGTGAGAGGCATCAGGAATAGAGCCCAATGCGGGGGTCGAACCTGCGAAATCACGTGATTAGCACGTGACTTGATCATATAAGTGTGAATTCATGCTTACCCGCAACCTTGAGATTAAGAGTCTCACGCTCTACCGATTGAGCTAACCGGGCGCTGTTGGTTGGAAGGCACGGTCTGTAACTGCCATTATAACACACACGATCTGCTAGCTCTTCGCCCCGTCCGCTATGCTCACTAGCTGTACTAAAATCATGCAGCGACAAACACGCTGCCATATAACTTGATAGGATGATACTTAACAAGCTATCTAGGTGAAGCATTCTGGCGTGGATCTGAGCATTGGTGTAGAATTATATATATCTCTCTCTCCGAACAGGACAAGACAATAATGCCAAGGCTATCCATCACCTTTCCTGCTCTTCATTTCCGAAGTTAAGAAAATGCTGTTATAGCTTATAGCCTTTTCGGGACGAGGCTATTCCTGCGCAGCTTAGATAGCCTTGAAAGCCTCAAGTCTGCTTTTTAAACACGATATCTTGGATCCTCTCTACCTAGTTTAAATACTATCTCTCTCTACCAAGGATTTTTCTCAAGCCCTTTTCCCTAGCAGTATATAGACTCATTCTCCCATTGTTATTATATAAGTAGCTCGTATGCTCAGTTTTTTGTTATATTATACATGTGCAAGTTTTATTTACTCCTTGCTCAGCTAGGTCTTTTGGTCTATAATTTTTTGCTGTTTTATCTACTATTTTACTTTATTTTGTTTATCTGCTTTAATATCTTGCAAGTGTACTGGGCCTCCTGGGTCTTTCTCCAGCTTTTATTTGCTAAAATAAAAACATGCTCGTTAACTATAACTAAAGTTTAAAAGCGGTCTCGATGTTAGGATTTAAGGTCTTAAAAACCGCTCCGCCTCGACCCCAGATCTTTTCGAGACCGTTCCTACGGCCGATTGCCCTTCACAGATCCCAGCTGCCGGCTCACCCTCCTCGAAGACCAGAATATTGTTATAACAACCAAGTTCATACTCACACGTAACATTCAATATCTAGCCATTAACCGTCATCACTACACGATTCAATCTACGGGCTCAGTACCTGGTACACGCTGTCATATATTCCGAGATGAAAGGGATCAGCCCGCCACAATGTTTTGAGAGCTAGGAATTCGCGCGTGGTCAGACTCAATAGACTCCTTATCCGTTTATCCACAGAAGCACCATCCGACGCAACTCAAGAAGTCCCCAGAACCCCCGATGCATTGAGTGACCTAAATCAACCACTGTCTTCATCCACCTGAAGCCAGAGCTAAGGAGCTCTTTTGGTCAAATCAGCTCTCCGAGTATAGAAACACCCTCAGGGAGCAGTACCCTGGTACTAGTTTCCTCGTCGCCATTCGTACAGCTATCAGTCACAAATGCTGTCAACAGCAAAGAAGGCTTATCCGGGACAACTAGAGACATAGTCTTCTCGGCAGAACCCAACCTAAGGTTCGACTGGTTCCTGCCTAGATGCTGCCTGACGAGTCGGAAAGCAGGGAAGACACTGCGAAGCATAGGGACATTGTATGGGTCTCAGCCTGGATTCTGGAAAAAGACGTGTTACGGCTCGTCTGAGAGTATCACCAGCGGACCCCAACTTCAGTCTGTCTTGCCGGTCTAGCTCCTCCCACCTGACATAGGTTTCTGGTCCGTCACCTCCACGTTTCCCTGAGCGTTCTTACGACCTAATGAGTCGTCCGCTATGTCGGTTTGGGTACAGGGGATTTGCCTAATAAACGAGAAATCAACAAAAATAAAAGTAAAAGAAAAAAAGAAAGGAAAGAAAACAGAAAAGCGAAAAGGAAAAGAAAAGAAACTCGACAGAATATCTAGTTCACGCTCCCCTGAGCGTTTATACGACCTGATGAGTCGTCCGGTATGCCGGTTTGGGTACAGGGAATTTGCCTAATAAAAGAGAATTCAACGTTTCATTCAATACCTCCTTACTGTAAACATGGAGTTCAAAAGGACGAGGGACGAATATCAACCCAGTAAGCAAGTCCAAAGGGAATGTTTGCTCCCCGCCAGCTGGCAATACCTGACAATTTGTACATGCACCTTTTGAGCCGTCAACCTACCCTCCTCGACATCACAATCAAGGATCTTCACGAAATCCCCAACCTTTTGCACCTCCCACAACTCTCCATCAACAATCTGCCCTCAACGCATCCTTAGATCCACCACGAAGAACGTTCCCAAAATGCCGAACGCCGTGTCTCTAGTGCAGACTATGGGAGATCAGCTGCAGGGCATCACCCAAAGCTTGGATGGGCTCAACCAGCTTGCTCGCCACAACATCTCAGCCATCCTGTAGATGGGCAAACATATTGACAATCTCGAACAACAAAGCAATGTGACCGGTGACCTAAACGTGCGAGAAATCGTCAGTCTCTAGGCTGAGATCAATCAGCTTCAGCTTCGCCGATCTCGTAACCCTGGCGATTTCGGCCAGATGGTGGCGGATATCTCTGATGTCAAAAATCAGGTGGCTCAATATAATGGCGACCATCAGTTGCTCGTCCATTCCTTCAATGAAGGACTTGACAGTCTAGATGAACTAGTCTGCCACTTCACCAGATGCCATGGAGGTATCACCGCCGCCGTCACCTGGTTGCGTGACGCCCTCGGCAATCGAGAACGGGTCGCTGAGGCAGATGCTCGTCAGATTCTGGACCTTATTGAAGCTATGAATACCAGAATTATCTCGAAGCTTGACTATTTGAGGGAATCATCGATCGCATTGACGAGAACTGGGAGTACATTCACCAGGTGTATGCTAGCGTTAATACACTTCTCGGCTTGCATGGATTCCTACTCCGACACCCCTTTAACATACCTACTAGGTAGTCAAGTGGCTCCAACAGCGCAGATGCCTACAGACACTCATACACAAGTCGATGGGACTCACTTGCAATAGAGAACGGAAGGGCCGAAATGAGCATCTCCGCGTCTTTGGTTCAGATTCAGACGACTCGTTCTTCGAATAAACAAGAAGTGCTATTATTGATGGCCATGCATCAAGACATACATCATTGTCTCGGTGGCTGGATGCGGCTTCTGCGATCAATCGTGTCATAGAAATCAGAGAGGTGGGCGAGTATGATGCAATGGTTGGACAGCTTCCTTGTCTTGCGGAAGGGACATGACGAGAAAGCACGGATAGGAAAGCACGGTTTGCAAGAGATCAGAATGTAATTAAGCAGGCAGGGACGTGGACAATTGTTTTCGACATAAGGTGCCACCCATACCCCAGATCCCGTTGAACATCCCGCCCACCTTGCTCTTCATTTTCTGTTCATCTTTGAATTCATCCCATTCCGTATGATCTACCAATCCTTCCACCTTTGTCCCATCTGGATTATCTAGGTTTATTACCATTTGTTTATTATTACTCGTTTATTCGCCTCCTTCGTCCCATCTAAATCGTCGAAGCTCGTTCGTCGCGATTAGCTGCAATGCCACCACAGCTGGACTGCGACTCATCGGGTGATGAAGACTCGGATAACTATGGCATTAGCAAACAATTCGCTCATGCAGGCGCAGCCAGCATTGAGAAGCTCTTTCAGATCTCAGCCGAGGACATTGAGAAACTGAAAAAGCAACAAAAGCATGAAACTGAAAACGGGGCTCCCAAGCACTGATTATTTGCTGTCATTATGGGTTAATAGATTTCGAGCTTTCCGGACGCATGTCTTACAGAAGAGGTAATCTAGCCGTTTACTCTGCCCTGCCTTCTTTCTATTGTCCGTTATACCTGTGCTGATCTTTCTTCTGTCCTTACAGTAAAGATTCTGTCCCAACCGGTGAAGATGTCCGACTTTTCCTGCCAGTTATTGTCAAGACTATGAGGCCCACTGGCAAAGACAAGGTTTCCTACAGTACCTTAATGCAGAGCCTTGAGTATATCCAGAAATGGGCTGAGTTCCAGTTCGAAGACTTTCGTCTAACAAGGCATGATCTATCACGCATTAGTAAGTTCTACTGACATATCCATCGACATGGATCGTCCAGGGCCTAGCCACTGTGTTCTGCGCGCTAACAGCATGTACTTTACAGTGAACACGGTCCGAGGCCTTCTCGACGAGGGTGTTATTACTAAAGAGCCGAGAAGGCAGAAGCAATGGGTGACCACCGACGCCGTCCATGAATTGATCAGGCGCTTCCTTCAGGATGCAATTAAGAATGATTCGCCTTCCTGGGACTATACAATTATGAAAGTCCTAGTCATTCTCCTCCAAGAAATATGTGGCTGTACGAGTGGAGACATACTTCTCTCGGACAATGGCGAGCTTCACGAAACATTCTGCTGGAAGGACATGATAATCCGCGAAGACACCAGAGATGGCCATCGAGTCCTTGTTGCAAAATTCACTCTTGAGTTTACCGAAGGCATCAAGTAAGCCAGGCAAGTTACACCCTCATTAAATAAACCTCGAGTTATATACTGATGCGAACTTGCGTTTACACAGAGATCCTCAGCGCCAACAGGAACATTCGGTTGTCGAGTTCTTGGAACCGTCGTGAAATTGCCTCTGCCCCCTCAAGCTCCTTCTCATCCACGCTATACGTACCGGCGCCGTAAAGCAGACATCATGGCATGAGCTCAGGGAAGCCGTCAGTAAAAGGAAGAAGCTCATCTGGGCTCACCCAGACCAGCCTGTACTTTGTGCTGTTAAGCCTGGCGCATCTGTTTACTCGACGTCGAGAAACCTCTGCGAGCCCATTCGAACGCTCGGATACTCAGGGATATCAGCACAGTAGGTGGCGTTGTGCAACCTATTATCCCTCACGACCTCCGGCGAGGAGCGGCTAAAGAAGTAGCCCACTTGCCTGCCGACTTGAGGGGACACTCAGCGGTTGAAGCAGCACGGCTGCTATTAGGTCATAGTCACGCGACCGCAAAACGCGGTGTCACAGAAGATTATATTGGCCACCTAGAACTTGATATGTGGGCGTCAAGAGTTGAGATGACTATGCAACGGGGCGCGAAACATGTTTTAGAATTCGCTGCACTGCTACCTAGGCGACTTTTAACGGCAGACAATCGATAACAAGTGTGCAGAGCAAGGTAGTGATCCCCAAGACAAGACAGCCCGCCGACATGCGGCA